TCCTCACGACGATGGCGGCATCTGGGCCTCCTTAGCCGCGTGGCCGGACACCAGCGGGGCCTCCCCATCTGACGCAGGAGAAGGACACAGCGTCCCCCCATCTGACTCTCATCATGAAGAACTTGGACAACCCGTGAGGCCGCTCTGCAAGCATCTGCCATTGATCTAGAAAGAATGTCAACAGCAGAAAGGGGGGATGCGCTCACTCCAGATTCGGGGACCCCGGAGGGGCGTGGAATGGCATGTGGCACGGCTCGAGGTCTCCCCTGCCATGAGGACGTTGGGGGATGGGGGTGGCACCGAGCCAGGCCTGCGCGCCCAGCAGGGGCTCTCTGAGTTGTCCCCTCAGTGCGGGGAGGTCCTCTCCCCAGGAGCACACACCCGAGGACAAGGACCAAAGGTCTCCAGGCTCTGCACGTCACAGACACGGAAGGGATTCCGTGACCAAGGGTGGGATGCAAAGCTCATCTCCGGGGAATCGGAAGGGCGCGTGGGGACCCATTGCTGTCCTCGCAACTCGGAAGTCACGTGAGGTCGGACAGTTAGGGAACAGAGTGTCTGCAAGTCACAACGCCTCTGTCCCTGCCCTTCGGCTGTGGCCGCCTTCCCCAAGGGAGACGCCAGGAGGGACAGGGCTGAAGCCGGGGCCCAGGAGACCGTGAGTGAGCACAAAGCCGTGGGCCCATGACACAACGTGGTAGGACGGGTGACAATGGCATGGTGACCTGCGGCCCCACAACTGTGTCACCTGGTCTGACGGCACGGCACCCTCCGACGTGGTGAGGAAGCCGGGGCCCACTGGACACAGGCTGGCCACCCGTCCGAGGGCCGGAGACCTCAATCGAGGAGGGAGGGTCTGCCCAGGGCCGCGTCTCCGGGTCCTCTCTGGGCCTCCGAGGAGGAAGATTTATGAGGAAGATTTCGGGGTTTCAGACCTCGGGGGGCTGGAAAGGCCCAGGCCCCAGGGTGTGCCAGCCCAGGGAGAGGACCCGCGGGCCCAGGAGGAGGACGGCCAGGCCACTGCTGGCCCCAGGGACGTGCGCGCCTCTCTCCTTGGGCGGGAACGTGTCCCACACGTGACGTCCTCCTGGAGCCTAGAATGTGACCTCATCCTGGAAGCAGGGTCTTGGCCCTGTGACTGGTTAAGGTTCTCGGGGTGAGATGATCCTGGGATTTAGGGCGGTCAGTCCCAACTCCAGCGACGTGTCCTGATAAGAAGGGAAAGGACAGCGGCCAGGGGGAGAGGGCCCGGCGGAGACGGGAGCAGAGGCCGAAGAGGCAGGAGAGGCCTCCCCAGAGCCCCAGGGTGGACGCCCCCACCCCACCTTGGTTTTGGACCCCTGGCCTCCAGAACAGTGAGAGGGACACTTCCTGTTGTCTCAGGCCACCAGATTCATGGTCACTTGTCCCAGTAGCCCTAAGGATTGAGACCCTGCCATAGGTTCTCGGTCAGACCACCCTGGGCC